GGTTTTACTTTTGCATAAAACTCATGACAAGGTCGCATAAAAACATTTCATATAACACAAATGCGCTCGCGCACACACCTAACTTTGTACCGGCTGCTGTGTTAGCTTCCTGCTAGCTGTCGTGTGGAGGTGGTCTTTCCTCTCTCGTCTTGGCAGTAAAAGGTGGATAAATGTACATTTCCCTTTTGTAACCTCCATCTTCTCATTTCTGATGCTGGCTCTTGAATATCCTCAGGTTTAGAAATGCCGATTACAAACACAAGCGTGAGCTTTTAAAGATAAGTTTTGCCTGTGAAGCTATGATCCTCTGCTGTCATCTCCTCATCAAGAGGAAAAAGAAGAAAAACTAACAACTCGATCATATCTGCTGCTTAGTTGACACAACGGCACACAACAGAACTCACATTTTATACCAGTGGATCACAGATGCTTTAACTTTTGTGACATTTTCACCGACTAGTACTAGGAGCTAACGCTAAAAACATAGGCAGTAAGCAGGGAGTGGAAGGGAGGAGCGTGGCAAAAATTTTACCGGAAATACATCATTAATAACCGTGGCATATAGGCTGTTGATGGTAAGGTAGTCAATTGATGTACATCTACAACAAATTGACTGTTTCACTTAATTTAAGTCAAGACAGGCCCCACGGGTACATAAACTTACCCAGATCAAAACTGGCTATAACTCATTCATTTTTACAGATATTAAGCTAAAGGGGCGGCACGGTGGCTCAGTTGGTAGAGCTGATGCCTCTCAGAAAGAAGGTCACCGGTTCAAATCCTGGCCCCGGGACCTTTCTGGGTAGAGTTTGCATGTTCTCTCCGGGAACTCCGGCTTCCTCCCTCACATCAAAAACATGACTGTTAGGTTAACTGGTAACTCTAAATTGTCCCTAGGTGTGAGTGAGAGAGTAAATGGTTGTCTGTCTCGTTTGTTTCCATGTGTCCTTGTGATGGACTTGTGACCTGTCCAGGGTGTATCCTGCCCCTCGCACTGTGACTGCTGAATATGGACACTGATGACCCCTGTGACCCTAGAAAAGGAATAAACAGGTATAGATAATGGATGGATGGGAGAAGCTAAAGTTAGACATAGGAGTTTAATTTCTATTTCACTTTGGCTTGTTTTCATTCCAGCTTGTCATCGTTCAGAAAAAAAGAAACCTATCTGGAGACATGGCACCTGTTGGGTGGAATGAATTTAATTGTGGTTGGATGAGACGTTTAAATACATAATATTCTGACATTCTATTGGTTTGTACGATCCATCACACTTGTATGACACAAATTGTGTCACACTCCAGCAGGACAGCTCAGACACATCTATGAAGATGATCATGGAGAGATATACAGTATATACAGCTAAATCAGGTAGCCTAGTGCATCCTACATATTTCAACATCATTTTATTATATTTTATAGTTCTTAATGCCTTGCAAAAAATGTATTGTACTTTATATAGTTTTAAAATCAGCACTTTTATACATTTTATGAAATGCATGATTTAAAACTTTTACTTCCAAAAAAAGTATGTGAGTATTATATACTTAAATATTGAATGTGAATACTTTTTTCACCTCTGGACATAAACTTTCTCATTTTACCTACCCACTAGGGCCTGCTAAGTCACTCAGCAGTTGAAGGTTTACAGCCCAGATTTTTGACTGTGCGTGCTGCAGCATCACCTCTTCAGCTTTAAAACTGGCACCAAAAGCTCAGCAAACAAAACAAAATGCAAGTCAAACAACAAGCAGGAGGAGAAAAAACAAATACAAATGGTTGTCTTAAGGAAACTATGTATGAAGATAACTGCTGATATCATCCCTTGGATTATATTGCTCAGGGACAAAAAGGCAACAGAACGTTGCCAACATAAATCAGGATCTGACGACTGGTAAAAATGTTTGCCTTTTTTAAACACATCATTCAAAATAATGTAACTACATTAACATGTTATTTGACTCCAAATTCTGAATCTGAATTCTGAAGCTGCTGC